CTTGTTCAACCTAGTGGTCTCTGCTGGAGCCACCTTGGTCTCAAAGAGTGATGGGCAGCACCCACAAGACCAGAAGTGGTTGCTGCAGCTGAGAGCTGTGCAACTGCTCCTTCACTGACATATTTAAAGAAAATATTTGCTGCTCACTGCCAAAAATTGTTCATAAACTTGCCAGCCCCGATGGCAAGTTGGCAGTGCAATTACTTAAACTTTCTGTATAGACAGTCCAGGTCACTGGTGACTGCTGGCTGTGCTGTTTCAAGATGAATTAATTGCCTCCTGGGTTTCCCCTGGCTCTGCAAGGCTTTTCTGGATTTACACACACTGCCAACTGCTGCACAAAGAGTAGAAGGGGAAAGATAGAGCTCAGAGAAGAGATACAGATGTGTCCTATCTAGACAGGGTTTTGCTTCTGAATATCACAATCTCTTTGTGCCACAACTCTTGTTGTGTTGTGTTGCAGGCCATTGAAAAGAAATAATAAAAACCCACATTGCATGCCATGAAAATAAAGTGCTTTGATCCTGTTCTGCTGTTTGGGAGAAAGGCTACAAACTCCACCCTGCTGAAATGCAGCCCTAGCTGAGCTTTTCATAAACTCACTCCTACAGGCTTCATCCAAATAACAAACTGGGTCCCCATCTGGAGTTTGTGTTGTCCCTTTAAAGGATGCTTTGATACACAGTAGTAGGATTCCCCCATGCACCAGTTCATAATGTTTTCTTGATTGTTCCCCCTTACTGAGAAGACAGGCAGTTTGTACTCCTTGCAGAAATGGCACACAATTCCTGATGGGATAACTTGGTGCATCACACAGCTCGTCCTCAACACACACCGAACAGCCCTGATGCAGTGAGTGCTCAGCACCACCCCAGAGGGCTGTCCTTGTGGATGCTCCCATCCCTTGGCAATATTTTAACACCTTAAAATTAGACTGTCTGCCTCCTCACACTACTTAGGATTCAAAGCACTTTTCCTAGACACACTGCAAAAGGAACCCAGGAGATTCCCTGAAAGAAAGGACAATTTTACATGGTATTTTTTAATCTGCTGGCTCTGCAGTGATACTATCATGCATCTCCTGGATTGCTGGCACCTTGGCATTAATTCTTTTTTAATTCCTTTGCCAGCTATATCCTGCTGTCTCATGATTTATGCCTTTACTGATATTCTGCCCCATTAAAACAAAACTATCCCTCAGAGAAACCCCCTCTTCTTAAAATTTATGAGCAGGTTTGATCTGGAGATTCCCAAACCCAGTACTTTCAAAGAAGACATCATGTAGGCAACTTCCATAAACTGCAGAAGCCACCAGGGTGATATGACAATCTGATGTGACATCCTATTGCTCAATGGTTTACTGGGATTAAAAGATCCTGTCCCTTAAGCACTGTGTAATTTCACTAGGGGTGTTAGGAATTTATTGCAGTCTTTTCCAGAAATGGCAGCATTTCAGTGAGGGGATGTTGTGGAGCATTACATTCTCTCACATGAGTGGGGCTCTCACCCTGCATTGTGTGAGTATCCAAATGCCCTTCAAAAACACTTCCAGTAGTGTGTTTATTGCTTTTCCTTTCTATTTTTTTTTCTGCTCCCCAAGTTAAAAGCTCAGACTCTTTACCTCTCTGTGTTCTTTATATGATCAGCTCTCAATAAGTACATGATTTATGCTTTAGCATGAAACCTGGAAATAGCACTCAGACCCCTAGAGAGTTAATTCCTACAAACTAAAAATGCTTTCAAACCATTCTGCCTGATTGCATCCCGATACAGAATGATTCAAGAGAGCAATCCTTATTCACTTCTGCCACTCCTTTGGTGAGAATCATGACAGCACAGCACAGGGGGAGCCAGCTGTTTGGCTTTTTTATTTTATTTTGGTATTTTTATCCCATTTTCCACCTCAGCCTGCACCTAATTCTCAGATATATTAGCTCAAGCCAGGAGTAACTGCTCTGATTTCAAGTGAGATAGGGTTTACTCAGCTGGCTGCCTACTTTGCTCAATTATTAATGTTGGAGCACTATTGATTTTGCCTCTCTAAGCTTAGTGCTGAACAAGTGCTGAAAAATGGAAGTGGCAAGCACAGGAACAAGGAGAAAACAGCACATTCCAAAACAGTTCAGTCACCTGAAATCCAAGTGGTCCATTAAATACCTTAATCCATGTAAAATCATTCCTGTAGCAATTATTTTTTATCTCTCAAATTCCTCTAGTTACATTCATGCAACATTACTCCTCTTTCCAGGTTCAAGGATGAGATGTGTCTGGGGTAATGGCTTGGGCAAATGATACCTTCACAGGAGCTGCTGTAATCTAGGAAGTTCTTTAAGATTTGGTAGTAGAGATAACATACGGAAGAGCTTACAAGGGGCAAAACTAAAGTAATGCATTACCTAGCTTTCACTCTCTAAGACAATCTTCCCCTGCTTAATCCCAAAATGTATTTTACTGGCTGCAGTCTCAGGCAGTCCAAAATCTTAGATGGCCATTTCAAAAAAATAAAGAAGAGAAAATGCCTCTTAAGAAATTTACCTTCCTGAGGTGTCCTGACCCAGCCCTAAGTTCACATATCCTATACAAAAATCCTCCAGGACCCTAAAGCGTCTTCCCATATTTTCTCTCTACTCTGGAATACACTGTTGCTGCCAAAACTCACCATGTCCAGCTGTGACTCCAGCAGCAGTGTGTTCAGCTCAGATTTGGCCTCAAGGAGCAACTACTGGGGCTTTTAAATAAGAGATTTGTACTAAATTCCCACCCAGAACACAGCCTATAAAAAAGTGGATGGTTTCAAAGGGAAAGTTATCAGACCAAGAAAAAAACTTTGCAGAAAATAGAACAGGTTGTGTATAGATCTATAGGGTTTTACTACAGCATCAGGGGGAGCTCAGACCCTACAGTGATGTGCTATTGAAAAACTACAAGTAGAAACAATCATTTAAATGGAAACCTTGTTGGGAATAGTGGGAGTGATATTTGAAATTAGTGATGTTTGACACTGGCTTGATTCAGATTTTGGCACAGGTCCCTTTCCTGGAGAATGACAGGCTAAATAAAGCAATGGGGCCTGGACAGGAACTCTGTCATTTAACCCTACTCTGGCATTGCAATGCTAATAAATGCATAAGGAAAAAATAATGTAATAGTCACATTAATATTATCTTCATTTATTATCCTAACCCTTCAGTGAGAGCAAGTGCCTAAAAATTTTTAAATTTTCTTCCCCTTTCATTGTCTCTTGAATAAATGAATAGACAGAAGTAGTGATGTCATTCATTCAAGCCCAAGACTGACTGTTCTTTCTCTTAAGCAAAGGGTTGAGGTCAGGTACCCTCTAACCCAATGGCCAACCAGAAAAATCAGGCAGCTAGTGAAAAACAGACATAAGAAGAGATGGCTGCGAGTGAGTCAGTAAGCATCATACCAAGAGAGTGGCTGAGCACAGGCTCCCAAGGGAAGTGGTCATAATACCAAGTCTGTCTGAGTTCAAGAAGTGCTTGGACAACACTCTCAGACACATGCTGGGATTCTTGGGCTTGTTCAGTGCAGGGCCAGGAGCTGGACTTGATGATCCCTGTGGGTCCCTTCTAACTCAGGATATTCTATGATAGGAATTGCTGCAAATAAACTTCTTGGGCTCCTGTTTGGGTCTGCATCATGTCCTGTTCACCTTGAGGGAGCTGAGCAAATGGAAGCAACCACAAGTGTTTACCTCCTGTACTCTATATTATCCAATAATCTACCCAAATAAAACAATATCCCTTTACATAAGACAGCAAAGAAACAAGTGAAAATTAGAGGAAAAATAAAACACATTTAAACTAAGCAGCAGTGTTGAGACTACAACCTGTGTGTTAACAAGATATTTTAATAGGCTATTTCTCTGTCTTCAGAGAACTCAGCATGTCTAGAAACACACTTTTTATAGCTGACTTTCTATGACACCAGCTTGTTCCCATCTCTGTAACTAGCTTATTGCAGCTATGATAATAATTGATCAAATTGTAAACCTGATCACAAGGTCTGCTCCCTCATCTGCTTTGTTCCTTGGCTGGATGTCACTTTAGGAAGCAGCAGGGATTTAGAGTGGTGGCTGTCTGTGGCATCCATCCCCTCCCTGACTTGCCATTAAGGCTGCCTGATTCAGGAAGTGCAGTCTGACTCCAGTGGAGTAGCTGGATACAGAGCCTCCAGCCATCAACCCCACCTGGATCTGGTCCTGGCTGAAGAGAGGAGATCAATGTTGCAGAGGGAGGCAGAAAGGCTGGCAGGAGGGATAAAATGCCTCTTTCTTGTGGTATTGCATCCCACAGAGCTCATGGGCCACACCTGTGAGATACTGACCTGCCCAGAGGTCCATGCCCCTCAAACAGTCCCCTGGGTCTGATAGCTATGGTGCTGCCTAGAGCACACAAAGGTCAAAGATAGACAAAATATTAAGCAGGAGACACCTGAGAGAGATCACTTGCCACTGGGAACACCCACAAGCTTCCCCTTGAGAAATCCAGTTTGAATCACCCCCAGCAGATCTGACAGGCAGAAACATGGATTCAACCATTTGACATCTGGGTATCAGTCTGCATCTCATCAGGCAGCTGGACTTGATTTCTGCATGTCTCTCCCTTTAACACCCAGGTATTTCTTTGTGTGGAGAAAATAGATGGTCCCTGTGCCGCCTGTCTCTACCATGAGGAACTTCTGAGTTGACAAAGCTATTTTTAATATTATTAGAAATGCTGAGATGGGTTGGGAATCCCACATTATGAGTACTGAGAAATTATGTTTTCTCAGTGAACAGTGTCATTTCTCTGCAGAACCATTTCTCTGTGCTTCATCCCTCAGCGAGGAAACCGAGAAGCTCGGTAGCTCAGGAGCCATGTCCTATGCTCAATGATGAAAGGCAAATCCGTCCAAAAGGTCCCATGCCAGCTGCAGCCTGGCTGTGGGGTCACAGAAGACAAAGAGGAAGACATTTCTTATATGACACAATGTAAAGCCTTAGGTACCAGGGCACCTGAACAAAAAATGAGGTGGCCCTTTTGACCCTCATGCTTTGAGGTTCTGCACAGCTCAGGTTAGGAGACGCCATCACAGCCACAGCTTTTGTCATATACAAATCCTAAATAAGGACATTTATCTCCATATGGAGAATTCATCATGGACACATGTACCTAAGTGTCTTGGTTTAAAAAGACAGGTTTGAAAAGGCAGGAGCTTCCCTTGAAACAGAAAATGTAAACCCCTTCCCTCTGAATTATACTTTTGAAATTGGGGCTCTCAGGCAAAGATATGGGAATAGGAATAACAGTTCTTTACTAAGAAAATTAAAAATTCAAATGCAATAGTAAAAAAAGAAACCTGACACCCTGTGGGTCACAGTGTTAGTAGCAGTCCCATTAAATGGTGACTGCAGTCCTCCTGGAGTGTCAGGTGTGGTTCTGTTGGAGCAGTGATCCTGTACAAGGGTGGAGCTTTCCTCTGAAGATCCAGTGGTGGTGTAGATGGGCCTGGTCTTCCTCTAGGAATCTAGTGGAGAAGAAAACTACTCCTCTGGGTATCCAGTGAGAAAACTCTTCCTGTGGTGTTCCAAATCTCAGATTCTATCCAGGTAGGAATGCTTGGCTCCTCCCCCTGGGTGGAGCATCTCCCAATGGGATGATGGAATTTTATCAGCCATGCAGGGACACTCAGTGGCCCATTAACAGAAGATATTTCCCAGAGGGAGGATTGGTGTGGAAGAGATAAAGAAAACTGCTCAATTAACAGAAGAAAACTGCCCCACCTCTAACAGATGGCAATAAAATACACACCCTCAGCCACATCTTGCAACCTAAGACACTGAGAGATGTGTTACATGCCCAATGTCAAATGGCCTTGCAAGTCACAGATTCTTTAATTTAATTACCAGTATTTGAAAATGCAAATCAAAGTTTCTTCAGATGAAAACAAGGCAATTTACTGACTCAAAAATCCTTAACTTTCTAAGCCAAGATGTCCCTTTAGAGCTGAAAAAATTGTAGAAATGACTGCCACAATAAGTAGATTAACCTTTCTTCTAAAGACATGAAGTATCCAACTAAGAAAGATTTTAGCTGCAGTAATTACTTGACTTTAATAAAATAAGTGTATGTATTAAGTATATTTCTTCAAAGTAAACTAATTTTTATTCATACCACTAGAGGTAATAATAAGAGTTAACAAATCAGAAGCATTGTTTCATGTCCTAGGAAGCTTTAGAAGCACTAAGGAATTAAGGATTTGCTAATAAAAAGTGATGAATAAACAAAAACCACAGAATGATTTTAAGAAGCTTGAATAAGCTAGAGAAATCAATGCAAGATAAATGAAAATCCAGAGAAATCTGATTCATATTTAAAAATCCTTAAAAATAATCATGCATCATAGTCTGGGTGAAATGAAATCACTGTGTCTTTTTTCCAGACCTGAACAGACGTGCCCAAAATGCAGATTCCACCACAAGAGAGGCCACTTCATGGGAAATTCAGGACAGCTATAGGTGGTGATTCTGGCAAAGGTGTGTCATATGCAAAGAAGCAGATCTCAGTGATAAGGATAAAACCAGGATGGGAGAAAACTGACAAAGATGACCAGAATGCAAATATACAGGTAAATGAGCCTAATATTTTTCTCCAGTTCTACTTTTATGGTGCTACTTGAAATTGCAATAAATAAACAAAATCTTGCTGCTTCAGAAGGGGAAATCAGTGATCAAAGAGTTCTTTCAAGGTGCCATTAAAATTAAGGCATTAAATTTGTGCTTGTACTGAAGCACATAAGCAGTTCTTTAACCAGCTCTGGGTCTTTCATTTTTCAGCTATTGGCAATGTTGGACCCTGAGCCCCTGGTCAGGCTTTGCTCACCAGCAGTGTTAGGTGTGATTAGAGCATTTTAGTGCTGTAACTTAAAGCCCAAGCCTGCAAAATGCCAACTTCACTTAAGAAGTGCTCAGCGCCCTCAGCTGTCTGAAAAGAATTTTGTTTTCTGACAAGATTTCAGTCTGAGTTTACTGCCTCAAATAGCCTCAGAAAAATTTTCCTTCTCTACTTTTTCTTGCAAGCCAAATTATTCCCAGTATTCCCTGCTCTCCCAGTGCCAGGCACAGGAATACCCCCACTAGATCAAGCTTCTCAAAGCCCCATCCAACCTGGCTTTGAGTACTTCCAGGAATGGGGCATCCATCCATAGCTTTTCTGATCAACTTGGGCCCATTTTCACCACCCTCCTTGCAAAAAAATTACTCTTACATGCGCTCTAAACCTACCCTCTTTCAGTTTAAAATTGTTTTCCTTTATCTTGTCACTACTAGTTCTGTTAAAAAGTCTCTCTCCATCTTTCTTACAAGTGCCCTTTCAGTATTGAAAAGCTTCAATAAGGTCTCCCCAGAGCCTTTTCTTCTCAGGGCTGAGCACCTCCAACTCTTTTAGCCTGTTCACAGGAGAGGTGCTTCAGCACTTTGTTAATTGATGGCCTTCTTCTGGACCTGTTCCAACATGTCCCAAGACTACTTCTCCCCAGCCTTCTACCAAAACCATGTGAGCATGTTTTGAGTCAGCACGAGAGAAACTGTTTCAGGTAAAAACTGATCCAGGTTAAAAACCTCTGTCCAGGTTCACTCTGATCCAGTTGCCTGTATGTCTCCACCTGCACTTTCAATGGCAGTGCTGTCTCAAAGAGGCTTAAACACCATACAAACTGCACTCCAAGCCTCCTTGCAGCACCTATATTCCCAGGTATGCTGGGGTATTCCTACAGTCATCACAGAGATAAGCCAAGGCTGCAACATGAGAATATCCCTTAAATGATATGGGGAATACTGCAATTTATGAGATGTGCTTGCAAGCTTCATTCCCACACAGCAGAAACCACAGTATCTCAAGAGCAAGATGAGGATATGGTCCCATGTCCCCTGGAGTACTGCTGAGGGTTCATGGCTTGTAGACCCACAAGATGCTCTAGGAAAAAAAAAAAAAAAAAACAGTTAGCTGCTATCAGGAGTGTGATCTGGGGTGTCTTATTGGGAAACTCTGTACTCTAACAACATCCATCATGTTCTGGAATTGTCCTCTTAGTGGTTTGTCTTTGCTGCATCCCATCAAAAATTCCAGTGCAGCTCAGTTCACTGGGGTAGCAATATTTCCCTCCTCCAGATTGTGTAAAAAGAGAAATAGTGAGGAGTGCAATTACACAACCCACTAGAGTGACATTTTCCACATTTAGCAGGAAAGCAGCTTGTGGAGTCAAAGAGCTCTTCAACCAAAACTCCTAGCAAGCCATTTGAGGTAAAAAGAAAATAAGGGGCATGTAAGACTGAAAACATTAGAAAGAGATTTTTTTTAAAAAGGATTTAAGTGGCAAAATTCATAAAAAACTCGTTTGCCTCCAGGCTATAGATGAGTTATTATTTTTTAAATAATGTTTTTAAAATAATAGAATTTTTTTTCTACATTTAAAATAATGTTAAACCTAATATTTTTATTTTGACCATCTCTTTGCAGCCGGGAAGCAATGCTTTCTTTATGTCATAATGTATGATAGGAGCCTGGCTCATCCCTCCCCATGGTCCATCTGGTGGTATGGAGCTGTTCTTTTCTAATGAGGAACACAAGTGCATTTCAGGATAAAGAAAACAGTCTTATCTGTGAGTGATTTTTGCCACAGTACTTTCTGAAGAGAGGTTTCTTCAGCTCCATTCTTGTTGAATTTCCTCTTGAAAATTTATACAAAAATTAAGAAGTCACTTCTTCCAAGGAGACAGTCCACTATGTGTGATTGCTCCTCCACAAGGTGCACTGTCATTGCTCCTTGGCTGTCCAAGACTTCCCCAGCTGACCTGGAATCCTCATGTTCCATGCTCTTCTTCCATGGCACTTCAATTTCTTCTCATTTAAACCCTAAAATAGTCCCACTTTTACTTTTGATCATTCTTAGGCAAAAGAAAACCTCCCTCCCCCATCTCTGAGCCCTGGGTCATATTTGTTCATTGACCTGCCTGTGCTTTCCTGGCACGGCTGTACTTGGCAGCAGTGCCACATTCCAAGGGCTTCAGATATTTTCTCAGTCCACTGCCTTCTTGGTGCAAATTTAATACTCAGAAAGAGCAAAAGAAAAAGGCAAAGATGCCTTTATTTTTAAGCTCTGCTGGTATTCTGGATCTCCTGACCTGTTGAACCAATGACAATATGGAAAGAGAATTGCTGCCATCTATTGGAAGGAGAAAACAAGGATGGTGGTCAGTTCAGTTTTTAGATTTTCTGCACATTTATCCATCTTATTTTTGGCATGGCAGCGGTTGAGTGAAATGTACTGCATCCTGAGTTGACACCAGTATCCGCTGAGCAGTCACAAAAAGAGAAGACAGCCTGAACAAGGACCCTACAGTGCTGTCTGTGGTAGTTGTTCCACAGCCAGCAGCCAGTTCATCTCCTCTGCAATGACAGACACAAAATCACAAAACCACCAGCCCTGTGATTATCATTTCACTCTTCTCCTCTGCAAAAATTCTGAAGCAGCTTACTGACAGGCAGAAAATTACTTTGTCATCAGAGCTCCTGAGGAAGAGCCAGGTACCTAGAGGAAATAGTGTAGAATACTTTTCATTTCTACTGCTCATGCTAGATTGTCCATAACTGGGATGTTTTTGCTAGTTTGACTCAAATCACTAAATTTATTAGAAAAAAACCTACAGATAATATTTTTGACTGGTGACAGAATGAGTTGGTTTCAAGAAAGAAATCAGAGCTGCTGGTGAGGAATTCCAGAAACTTGGCACAATCCAACTGCAACTAGAGGAAGGAAAAATCTGAAAAATAAAACTGTGACATCACAATTTCCTTACATACCAGCATTCTCTGTATTAGATCATCCAGAAATTGTACTAAAGCATCTTTACTCTTCCGTGTCATTGCACAGGAGTGTTATATAACTGCAGTTGTAAAAGAAGTTATCCATTTGGCTGTATGTGGGAAGGAAAGTGGTACACAACACACACTGCATTGAACCCACAATGGGCCAAAAGCAGTTAGTTAGACACATTTTTTGGCACTACCTTTGCTTCACATATCCTGCCCACAGCAGGGTTATTAGATTGAAAACAGGACCTTGGATCTTTTTTTTTTTTTTTTTCCTACTACTTTATTTCTGTTACCTTTTGGCTTCCTGGACTTCCTTTTTGATGATTTTCTCTTGGAAGGTAAGAGTAGTATCAATAGCAATAGATTCAATACTGGACTGATAATCAAAAATCCATGATGGTCCCAGATTTAACATGTTATACCATCTGTCAGTGGCAGACAAACACTCAGATCATACATCTGACTCTCATGATCTTTGTAGCTGTTTTACTGTAGATGATAATCTAAGGCCTGAATCTGCATAATGTAAATTTTGCCAGCTGGCACTGAGCCCTCTCCAGGCCATGGTAGCACCTAATTTTTTGAAGAAATGAATGCATTTCATCATCTAACTTCTCTCTAGGTTATGGTGACATTCATCACAGAGTACTGCTGACTGCAGAAGTTGGATGTGCTTTATTACAACCCCTCTCCTCCACCTAATCTGCTCAAAGCATATATCTTTATGGTGTTTTCAAAATACCTGTCAGCTGGAAATTAAGATTAATCAGCAAATCTGAAGTCACAGCAAACACTCCAGCATTTATGCTGGCAAGAGGCCCAGGTATTAATCAAGGTTAGTAGTTCTTCCACAGACTTGCAGATAGCTCTGTGGCAGAATAAAGCAAAGCCTTTAGGCACCTGAGCTGCTCAGGGGACACGATCCAAGCCAGGATAGTGCCTATTCCTTATGTCCTGAGAGAGAAGTCAGTCTTTGGGCTATGTCTGTACGATATCCATGGGATCCTGGCCAAAATCAGGAGTTTCCAGCAGCTACTGCAGTAACAGTCAAGAAGGTAATGCTGAGAGTTGAAAGACAGAAAGAGTAAAGCCAGCAGAAGAGATTCAGAGGCAAATGAGTTCCACATAATCCACAACAGACAGAGAGATGGATAAATTGTAAGCCCTGAGTGTATATATATGGAGATACTCGGAGAGGTGTTCTTTGTAACAAAGCTTTCCAAAATTCAAGCCTTGGCTGATTCTCAGGACTCAGCTCCCAGATAACTGCAAAAACAATACCTAAGATGGTAGCCCAGACTGATGTGATAATTCAGCACAATTCTTCATCATTTTAGACTACGCTAAACTGAATTATCCCACATTTGCTAGGGAGTAAAGGTGTACACAAAGCCATGTTTCCATGGCTCAGATGCCACAAGGAAATTTCTTAAGTAACTTGACTGCATCTGAGCCCTCAGACCCAGAGCTGACCGATGTTATGGAGCGTTTTGGGGAAAGCTGGACACTTTTATACCTCTTACCTCCAAATATTTATTATCTGAGCTGTACAGCATAGAGAGATGGGCTATTCCTAACTCAGCCCAGCAGTTCAGACCACTCACCAGGAGAGTCAGAACAGATCTCCTTCCCACACAAAGCCCACACATTTCACTTCTGTGTCACCTGTAACCTGCAGAATGGACAAAAGGATTCATCACATGAGAAACTGAGGTGAAAAAAATATCTGAATAAAATAGGTGGGCCCAA